GCTTTTCGCTGTTCTCCAAGCCGTTCAGTGGCGACTTGGCGGAGGAGGTTATCTTGAACATGCTGCTGTCCAGAAACTGCCAGCGTTTGAAGGCAAGTGGGGAAGCTTGGGTTGCCCAGTTTGACCTGGATAAGCTGAAAAGCAGAGGAAGAATTTTCTCCTGGTTGCCGCTGCGTTGCGGCTCCATGATGCATTGGTGCTGCGAGATCTTCTCCCAAAAGCTTTGGTCCTTCAAACTGCAAACCAGGGTTAAACATGATTCTTAATAGGGAGAGACTTCCAAATGTTTGGCTCAGGCTCCCTCAATTATTGCCAGAACTGCCTGGAATAGGTGATCTATTTTTTGCACTAAAGATGGCAGTAGTTTGTCCTCTCTTTCCCAAGTGGCGGTTTCCCTGGGGAAGGTCTCTGCTGGACGTGGTTGGGGTTTGGCTGTTTTTAGCCATCAGTAGGACTCTTGGAAACCAAACAAGCAGCCACAGTCCTGGCAGTGAGTTGGGTGATGGCCTCAAAACACAGGGCTGGGAGGCCAGGTGGCTTCCCTGGTCCTGGGCAGGTGGCTGAAATGTCTGACAAACTCGGCCAATAATGAAAAACTGCCGCCCTCCATGGCCTTGCTGTGCTGGAGCTGGGAAGGACGAGAGCTGGGTTCTGACCTCTGAGACCAGCCTGAGCCCACCAGCTGTGCAAGGCTGGTGGCATCGGCACCTACACAGCCTGCACCTGGGGTGAGGAGGGGAGAGAGCGGGGAAGAGAGGAACTCTGTCTCCAGCTGCCTTGCAAAATAAATACAAGCTGCACCTTGCTGGTTATTCCCAGCATCCCTGTCCTGTCAGGTACCGAGCCAGCTGAAACGAAGGCTCAGATCCAGCCCCTGAGGCATTTTGTTTCTCAAACTGGGGGTGCAGCAGGCGGCAGAGGTGGGGAGCAGGGGGCTGCAGATGCGGAGATGCTTGGATTTGGCCATCCTGGTCTGGCCACAAGCAGAACTGAGCTGCTCAGACAGACGGACACGGTGTGGCTACATTAGTGCCTACAGTGATGTTGTTGCTGTAAGCGAGAGCTGGACAAACAGCTTTGTCTCTCACCATGGCATGGCATGTGTGCAGTCTTCCGTGCCTCAGTTTCCCCTGATGCCTGCTGACTGCCCAGGCGCTCGCAGTGACAAACTTTCCCTGTGCCATGGGTGACACCACCATCGTGCAGGGGACCACGATGGAGAGGTGTCTGCTCTGCCCAGCTGAGAGTGGGGATGAGGACAGGGATACTGGCAGGGATGGGGTCCATCAGCTGCCCTGCTGGGCCTGGCCATGTTCCCTGCAAAGCGCAGGGGTTTTGCCAGGGAGCAGGGAGGACTTTGGGTTTTCCTGGGTCTCCCACTGCCACCTAGTGACCTATTTCCCAGCTCAGACCTGCAGCTCACCCAGCAGGTTCCCCTTGGCCTGGGAGCCCACCTATGGCCAGTGTCGGGGCGGGAGGTCCTGTAGTGGGTCCCTGCACCCTCAAAAGGAGCCTAGCCCCCGGCCGGCGTCCACCTGCCTTGGGCAGCTCATTCATGTACTGAGCAGTCAGTTCTCAGCCTCTGCAGAAAAGTGCTTGAGATGGACTTGTTCTCCCTCTTGGGACTTTTTTTTTGCAAGCTGATCTTGTTCTTGCCACCAGCATTTGAGGGAGGGGGTGATGATTTCTGTTTTGTTTTGTTTGACCCCAGATCATTTCGGTTGTTTCCTTACGATGGAAACTGCCGGAGGCAGAGGTGAGGACTTGGTGACCCACAGCGTGGGAGGGGTGGAAACAGGCTCTTCAGGCTTGAATAGGGGCAAACCCACTGAAACAACCCTTATGGCTTTTGAAAACACTCGCAGGGCTGCACCCTTGGGCACAGCCTTCAGCCTTGCCTCTGGGCTGCCGGGACTCATTCTGCACCCCACTTCACCCACAAATGCAAAGAAAGCCAAAACCACTCTTGGGCAACATCTTCATGAGGTGTTATTCTTGTTTCAGAGAGAAGCGGAGGACAAGGCTGATCACACGTTGTTTCGAGGGCAGTGAGTGTTTTCTTCAGGTTAGCTGGTGACAGGTCTGTGCGCTGGCTCCTGAGCACCCTCAGCTCAAGGATGTTCAGCGCCAGGGCAGAAAAACCTGCTGGTCTTCATCTCTGTAACGGTGGGCACAGTGCCAGCCCTGGAGCAGATTAGGGGGAAAAATTTGGAGGGTATTGCATGGGGATGCTGTAGCTGCAGGGAGGAGGTCTCGTGCCCCAGCACACTCAGGCTGGAGAAAGGGGAGGAACGTCGTTCTTGGGCAGTGTTCAGGCTTTAGACATCCGTGCAAACCACAGGGTTGTTCACTGCTGTGCCTGAGCAGGGAACTGACAATGGTGCAAATACACAGGCTGGTGACAGAATTCCTGCCTGGCAGCGTGCGAAGACAGGTTGGAGGTGAGGAGATGAGCAGGACATGGAGGATGCCGCAGCCATGCTGCAAAACCCCCTTGGCAGAGCTGTTCCTGGTGCAAGGATGGGACCTGGACCTGCTGAGTTTGGTGTGTGTGCGAGGGGGCTCAGTGTGCTCCCCTGGATGGCAGTGAGGGGGGTTAATGGGGGAGACAGGTCTGAGGAGGCCAGGGTGGGTCTGTTTGATGTCCCCCTCTTAAACCTTTGGGTGGAGGGTGGTCCTTGGGAAAGCTCTTGCCCCGCACCGTGGTACCCCACAGGATCAGCGAAGCTTCTTCAAATGCAGGTGGATCCCATTGCTGGATCTGAGGACGAGCTGTGGTAACAGTATGGGAGGCCTGGATGGGTCGGGGCGGAGCTCGAAGTGGAGCAGAGTCAAGGCCAGTGCCACCTTCATCTCAATCATGGCAAACTGCTGCCCAATGCAGTTCCTGGGGAGAGGATGACAAATGCTCTGATTGCTGCTTTCATTCCCAACTGCCCCCGAGCTGGGCTTAGCCCATGTGCGAGCTGGGGGACCTCCAGCTGTTGGGACAATGATGCCACAGCTCATCTATGAATCCTCTGATGCCACAAAATTCACCTAGCTCTGCAGTGGGGTATTGCTGTTTTTTATCAATAAGCATTGAAAAAAAGATATGAGATTGAGAGAACTGGGGCTCACTGCACTAGAAAGTGCTGCATGGATCCAGATATAACCCAGATACCTCAGAAAGCTTATTTTTTGGCTCTATGTGGAGTATCTCCTCTTGCAAGTTACTGAGACCTCAGTATCCTGCATCTGCCTATGGATACAGCATGGGAACCACAGAGTCCTGGACTCAGTTTGGCTTCGAGGAGGACTGGGTATTCACTCCTAAACAAGGGAGCCCATGTTCCCAAAGCAGGCAACAGAAAACGTAAACTTCTCCACAAACGCACAAGAAAGGTGTGTGAAGCCCTACAGTGACCACAGAGCTTGCGGTGTGGGAAATGCTCTGGAGCTAATGGAGCATGTGGAGATCCTGTTATGGAAAACCTGCTTGAGCTGGCCAAGCCAACTTGGCTCGTGGGTGCTGAGAGGGGATTAGCCTCAGAAGCTTGTCTCTGAGCTATGCATCCCATGCAAGGCAGCCTACAGGGAAGGAGAGGGATGAAGGATTTCCCACCTGGATCCAGCGGAGAAAGGCAGGAAAGCGTGGGAGTGCCTCTGTGCTGAGTTCTCTGGAGAAAACCTCTGTGGATCATATATCTGTGAGAGTAACAAAGGTCGTTTGGTCAGTATTGGCTCTGATATGAGCAGCAGTAGGTGCTTCCCCTGTCCTCAAGGTAGGGTTGGATGTGGCCTCTGCTGCCCTAGAGGAGCTGCAGCTGACATTCATACCTCTGCAAAGCCAATCAGATGGGTGAGAAGAAGGTGCTGGTGGCCATGAGTATCTCCCACTTGGAAATACCCAGATCACTCACTACAGTGCCCAGGATGACTGTAGACATTTTCTCATCCATTGGCAGCAATGATCAAATCAGACTCCCTCCTGTCCAGAGATTCCTAATCCTTCCTCTCCAGAGAGCCACTGGAGCAAGGCAGCTGCGGACCCTCCTTTAAGTTTCCCAGTGATTTCTTTCCTTGCAGCCTCTAAGACACCAGGCTGCCTTGTTCAAGGGGGGGTGGGTGTCTGGGCTCAGGGATCATCTGCCCCTTCTTGTTATAAAAGTGAAATACCTCAGGGTCCTCCCATACGTCCCGGTTCCTATGAAGAGCAAATATGCTCAATCCAATCTGGCAGCCTGGAAGAGAAAAATAAGAAAACGTTTGTAACATCTCAGAGTGAAGACCCAGGAGAGGTGTTTGTGGAATGTTCTCCCTCCTTGGGCTCTACAGGGGCAGTTGCAGGAGATCTGGCAGGGATGATACCCACTCTGTCCAGACAGGTCACCTCCTGAAACCCTCACGTGGAACAAACATTTGTCTCAGAGCTGGGCCCTATTATGGTACCAGTGCATGAGCTTTTACTGTCGGCCAGGATCAACACTCTGCGAGTCCCCTTTGAGCTCTGTGAACACCCCAGTGCCCTGGAGCATGTCCTTGGACTCTCTCCAGCCACACTTCCAGGAGAGCTGCGATGTTGAGCTGTGGTGGCCCTGTACAGCCCTTTGGAGAGAGAAGAGAAGCTGGAAGCCCTACCAGCCCCTCCACACAGCAGCTTTAGTGAGGGTGCCCCGCTTGTCACGGACACCAGCATGAAGGATGAAAAAACTCAACAGACCTGCTGGTAAGCTGCGTCCATCACAAAATGTGACAGGTTTAGAGAGGCATCGGGACACGAAAGGAACCGGTGGGAACAGGCGCAAGCTCTCTTTGATGCACATTGTGGTGTAAGTCATCTTCCCAAGGTCCTCCCTGAAAGCATATTGAGAGATTAGGCCATGTTTGAGTGGCAGCAATGAGGACATCAGCAATGGAAACTGAGTGGGCTAGACCGCAATGCCTCCTGTTGGGTTTTCTCCATCTCCTAGTCCTCCCTTTGCTACCAGCATCACCATGTGAAAAGCAGAATGCCCCAGTGCAGATGCAGTATAAAGTGGATGAAGTTCCCTTCTCATGATGAGTGAAAAGAGTTCAAAGTAAAGGAATAAGAAGTCCTAGCTCACCACTCAATGGTATCTCGGTCTCCCAAGATCTCCTGGATCTCTTCCCGGCACCGTTGCTGGTATTCTGGATATAATGACAGGCAGTAAAAGAGCCAGGAGATACCACTGGCGGTGGTGTCATGACCCTCAAACATGAATGTGTCCACCTCAGCACGCAGGTCCTCATCAGATAGCCCAACTCCGTTTGCATCCTAACAAAGAGGAGAATATATCGTTCCTGAGTGCACATCAATTGGACTTGCTTCTTTGGGTATAAAAATAACCCTAGATGCTGATGAAGAAGGGCCAAATTTGATGTCTCGTGTATCTTCCTATACATCAGGAAGTAAGCCAGTAGAAAATATATCCAACACATGTGAGAACAGTCAGACCCGCTGATTGCTGACTCTGCAGGCAACAGTTACAGCATTGGGCTTTGGTGGGATCATGGATCCCAGCCCTTCAGAAGGACACCCTATCTGATTCCCTACCAAAGGTCCCTGTTACATTTTTCAGTAGTTTGGTTTGGGTGACTTTTGATTCAGATCGAGACACAAAAGAAAGTAATGGCTCCAGAAGGACAGAGTGAACACAAAGTGTATCTCCCTTCTGAACACCAAATGTCGGCTTCTGTCCAGAGTATCTGAAGATGTCTGTGAAGATAAAACTACAGATGTTAAGAAAAAAACACCTCTTAAGATGACTACAGCCAAGGTGGCTTCCTTATAACCTTTCTGAAGAGCTCATTCTTGGATGTCTGACAGCTTGCTTATTTTAAACTATTAATGTGCTCAACGAAAATTAACAAGGAAGATGAAAATCTCTCTCAGCTTTTTACGTTCAATCTCTGATCTCATATGGTTCTATTTCCTTCCCTTTCAAACCAACTTTCCCTGAGCTGGGAAATCTGGAGTGGGGACGGTGTTGCCAGCAACACCAGCCAGGGTTGGTGAGTTCCCCGCTGATGCATCCTCGGTGCCACGCGGGTACGTTCTTTGGCACTTGATACAATTATTTCAAACACTCACCTTGGCACAAAGAAGAATGTCCAGAAAATCGAGGTGTCTTTTCTTCCGGATCTTGTCGAGTTCATTCTCACTGGAGAGCAACGTCTTTCTTTCTTTTATTATCTTATCTACATAGAAGAATGATCAGTCAGTTAGATGTGCCCTGCCCCTCCAGAGAGCTCATGTACTTGTCCGCTCGGTCAGCAGCTTGGACTCTGTTTAATGTGTAACCCTCTGGCCAGTGCATGCTGCAAGCCCCCTCCGAGCTGCTCCAGATGCAAGTGGGGGAGAAGTTCAGCTGGGAGACTGGGCTGGGATGAAAGGGGGAGAAAATACCTGTGTGGGCATGGGCCAGCTTGCAGGCATCCTGAAACTCATGGCCTTTGCGAGTCAAGTTGTAGAAGATGTCCTGGTAAGACAAATTCTGGACTCTCTCGCTCAGGAGGTAGCTCAGGTCATAAACAGCTTTGATATAATAGTCTGAGTTGCTGCAAGGAGACCGAGGTTAAAGCTGGTGTTAGCTGCATGAATGGGGAAACATGAGCCCTCATTTTCCCAGAATTTGAAAGCTCAGGCACTGACCTCTGAACTTGACAGTTGCTATTACAACTGAAGGCACATTTCATGATGCTGTCTAGTGCCATCAAGCTGACGTGTTGAAAGAGCTCCACTGACTTTCTTTCTGTGTTCTTTTCCCATTTATCCTAGTGATGGAGACAGGAGTAAGAAGGGATAGACTACCAGAATGAACTTGGCCATGTACGCTCAAGTCACATTTTCCTTTCCCACTTCCCTGATCCACACTGCTAATCACTTTATTTTCTGCAAGCAGAGGCCCTAGTTCACTAGACATTCTGTGAATATCCTCAAAATATTCTGTGCATTTCTTTTTCCATGTTTAGCATTACTGGGCTAGCTAGCAGTGATTGATTTTATTGGAAGCAGATGAAAGAGAAAATAAGTGGAATGGCCAGAGGAAGATGAGGGGAGTAACTTCAGAACTTCAAAACTACCCGAAAAATTCAGCAAAATTCTAGGAATCATTTGTGTCAA